CACCGCAGATCGCCTATACAAAAAAAAAAAAAAAAAAAAAACTCTCCAAAATAAATAAATAAATAAATAAAATAAAAGACACATGTACAAGAGCACACAGAGACCAAGAATAAGAGAGAGAGGAAAAGTGAGAAAGCAAGCTGCCAGGTCTAGAGCTTGAACCACAGTCAGCCATGTAGGAGTCCAGTGCCTTAACTGCCATCACTTGTTGGTCCTGGCACTGATACATTTTTTAAGAGGAGAAAACTAACAGGCTAACATTTTTTATAAAAAATATACATATATTTCTGGAAGGATCCTCGAGTCTGACTCTTCTGGGGTTCAACAGTGGGTAAGCCACATAAAGAAGAAGGTTCACATTGTGATTTGCTTATATTCACAGTCCTATAGGATTGGTCCTACATAAACACTTTTTTATTTTGAGAGAGCTATAAGGTGTGTGTGCTCACCAGAGACAGAGAGACAGAAAGCGAGAAGTCACCTTCTGGGGAGAAGGCCACACCACAATCCCTTCTCCTCCATTCTCCTTTCAGGCTTTTGGGCATGCAGACACATGCACCCCGCATGAATTTTAAGCCACGGGGTCCAGGACTTAAACCATGGCTGTTGACGAGATGGGTTGTAACCATTATGCCAAAGTTCCCATGAGTACTTTTAAAAGTTCATTTAAGAAGTATTTATTGAGCACTTACTATATACTGAGCACTATGTCAAGCACTTGGGATACATCAGTGAATGAAATCCACTTGGAATATATTAGTGAATGAAACAAAGAGTTATGTCCCAAAGGGGCTTTCCTTCTAGTGGAGCTATAAATGTTCATCACTGATTACTATTTTTTTTTTTTAGAGAGAGCGAGCTATTTTTTTAAAAGAATTATTGTATTTAACTTTATTTATTTTAATTTGATCAGAGAGGGGCAGACTGAGACAGGGGTTGGGGGTAGTGAGAAAGCAATCCACCAGGTCCAGGATTCAAACCTCAGTAGGCCATGTGGGACTCCAGCGCCCTTAACCACCATGCCACCTACCAGCCCCCATCACTGATGACTATTAAGAAGGTATTTGGGGGCCAGCAGGTGGTGTGGTGGTTGGGCACACTGGCTGACTGTGGTTCAAGTCCCAGACCTGGTGGCTTGCTTTCTCACTTTCCTCTCTCTCTCTCTCTCTCTCTTTCTCTCTCTCTCTCTTTCTCTCTCTCTCTGTTTCTCTCTGGTCAAATTAAAATAATAATAATGATGATAAATAAAGTTAAATAAAATAATTCTTAAAAAAAAATAAGGTATTTTAACTCCACTAGAGTTTGGTATTCAAGGGCAAAGTACATTTTTCTATTTTATCTATGTTTAGAACCCTAGTGACTGGTACATAAAAGGAATTCAATGAACACTTCTACTAAATTACTTTCTTAAACAAAAAGTTCTTTCAGCTCACACCACTCATAGTCCTTACTATGCTAGACAGTAGGAAAGGAAAATGTTATTTTGGCAGAAATAAATAAATAAATAAATACCTCAGATAAATGAAAGGACATAGAAAGTATGAGATTGATGCTGAACTAAGACACACAAATACTGTAGAAGCTTAGAGAAGAGAGAGATTCAGTGAAGTTTAGGATGGTTTGGGCAAAATTCTTAGAGAAGGTCAAGCTTGAAAGACAATAGCATTTACACTGGCAGAGGTAAAGTAGGAAGTAATGAGGGAAGATGAAGAGATGTAAAGTGTTATGCAGTCAAAACACACAATAAAGCAGAAGTCACCAACCCTCAGGCCATGGATCGATACTGGTCTACGACCTGTTAGGAATCTGGCAACATAGAGGACATGAGAGGCAGATGAGTAAGCAAAGCTTCATCTGTATTTACAACCATTCCCCATTGCTCACATTGCTGCCTGAGCTCCACCTCCTGTCATATCAGCATCCACATTAGCTTCTCATCAGAGTGTGAACTCTATTGTGAGCTGCAAATGCTGCATTCTAGTGAGTTCTATAATGATTTCAATATATATTACAATCTAATAATAATAGACATAAAGTACATAACAAATGTAATGTACTTGAATCATTTTGAAACCATCTCCCCCCATCACCCCTCTCCCATCCATGAAAAAACTGTCTTCCACAAAACCAATCCCTGGTGCCAAAAAAGTTGTGGAATACTACAATAAAGCATATTTTATTCAGGTGCATAAACATGTGAAAAATCATGTGTCCCAGATGGCACATACTCATACAAGGAATCCCTAAATTCTGAACATCTTACTCTACAGTAACTATACACAAGAGTCAAACGCAGTAGAGAAAGGAATAAAAGAAACTCCTCTTTGTAATTGTTCATACACACTACTTTGTACAAGGTATGGTGGGAAAAAAAAAAAAAACAGACCAGAAATTCAAGTTCCTGTTTTCTGCAAGGAAATAATTCTGTATGCCTGTTAAGGTCACACCCAATCTTGAATATTCTTCAATTCTCTAATTTGAACCTAAAATCTAAAATTGCCATATGTATAGATTCTTAACTTTTTTCATATTTGTTGTTCTTTCTAGTAAATGTTTTTTCCAAGTACTTTTTTATTAGGAGTGACTTTTAATTAGATAAGTAAAAAAGCAAAAGCCAGCCCTAGCCACAGTGGCATAAGCAGTAGTGATGCAGCATGACGCTAGAGCCACATGGAAAGCCTGGCATGACAGGCATGTCCACATGAACCTGTGATCCTACCTGGCTGAAAGGCTGGTAGATCATGGTGGTGCAAGGCCTTGTCAAAGGTCAAACCTCAGTAGGCCATGTGGGACTCCAGCGCCCTTAACCACCATGCCACCTACCAGCCCCCATCACTGATGACTATTAAGAAGGTATTTGGGGGCCAGCAGGTGGTGTGGTGGTTGGGCACACTGGCTGACTGTGGTTCAAGTCCCAGACCTGGTGGCTTGCTTTCTCACTTTCCTCTCTCTCTCTCTCTCTCTCTTTCTCTCTCTCTCTGTTTCTCTCTGGTCAAATTAAAATAATAATAATGATGATAAATAAAGTTAAATAAAATAATTCTTAAAAAAAAATAAGGTATTTTAACTCCACTAGAGTTTGGTATTCAAGGGCAAAGTACATTTTTCTATTTTATCTATGTTTAGAACCCTAGTGACTGGTACATAAAAGGAATTCAATGAACACTTCTACTAAATTACTTTCTTAAACAAAAAGTTCTTTCAGCTCACACCACTCATAGTCCTTACTATGCTAGACAGTAGGAAAGGAAAATGTTATTTTGGCAGAAATAAATAAATAAATAAATACCTCAGATAAATGAAAGGACATAGAAAGTATGAGATTGATGCTGAACTAAGACACACAAATACTGTAGAAGCTTAGAGAAGAGAGAGATTCAGTGAAGTTTAGGATGGTTTGGGCAAAATTCTTAGAGAAGGTCAAGCTTGAAAGACAATAGCATTTACACTGGCAGGGGCAAAGTAGGAAGGAAGTAGGGAAGGGCAGAGGTAAAGTAGGAAGTAATGAGGGAAGATGAAGAGATGTAAAGTGTTATGCAGTCAAAACACACAATAAAGCAGAAGTCACCAACCCTCAGGCCATGGATCGATACTGGTCTACGACCTGTTAGG